TCGCTTTCAAAGTGATGTCTTGAACATTTTAATCATATTCAATGCCATGAAATTTCAATCATTATAATAATAATATTTTTTAACAAGAAAGGAAATAAATTAGGACACTGACAAATCTTAATTATTATTACTAATTCTATTTTCTGTGATAATCCTAATAAAAAAATGAATATTCCTTTAAAAATTACAATTTTCATTTTCTTTTTGTAATTATTATTAACTTAATAATCCTATACTATCATGGGAATGGGATGGAAGAGGCTAATAGCATAAGAGTGAGAAAGAGTGTGGTGAAATAGAAGCGAGCGAGAGAGAGAAAGAGAGAGAAGAGAGAGAGAGAAACAGGCAAAACAGAAATGAAAACAGAGAGGAAGACATATGAAGTGGAAAAGGATTCGGGAGAAGAATGGGACAAGAAAGAGACACAGAAAATTCCGTTCACGAAACCACAAACTAGAATATTTATGTATAAATACCAAGTATGGCAGTAAACTCATCTCCTGGTTCGATGACCTACTAGGCTCCCATCACTGCGGACCACGGAACCTGGATATTGAATGGCTATCACTGAATTATTTGCGCAACCGATTACTGGTGGTGCGCTCGGATTCCACGGTTGCGTTGCCTCCTCCATTACAACTACCGCTTTGCCGGCTTTTAATGCAAGCGATGCTTTTGTGGGAGGATATGTTTTTGGGGTTCGTGGTGCCATTGGCTGTTATTTTGTGACATTTCCACAACTCGACACACTATTTTTTTACATTTGTATGTAAATGTGTTTTTCTAACGGTGCAAGGGTTATACTTTAGCTCCTGGAAGCCACGTTCAAGGCAGCTGAAACTTCAACCAACACACACACGCAAATAAAATGAAAGCGACGACATTTCAGTCCGTCCTGATCCCTTATGTGACAACAGTTCGGTCCGTCTTGGAACCTTATCAAGTTGCAAATTGGAAAAGAATGTAGTTGACCACAAAAAAGCAAGACAGGAGAGGTGAGATGAAGTGAATGTGAATAAAGAGAAAACATTACTTATATACATACTAAAAAAGGTACTCGGCGGTACCCTGAGTCGACCCAATCTCATGTGTATCTCCCGTGTATCAATATAATTGCCCCAGTTACCTTCCTTCAAAGTGAAAACAAAGACACAATTCTTAATGTAAGCCACAACAACGTAGCTGATAATTTGATACCCAATCTGCACATCTGAAAAATTATCTGTCCAAGGGACAATCTTCACCTGTTCGAGAGACAAAAACGCTAAATCCTTTATTTTCCGATAACCGGTCTAGTGGATTTCCTCGTCCCAGCCTCCAGCCTGAGCCTTGAAATGAAGACAAAATACTACACCCGAGTAAGAATGGTGTGGCAGCTCACTTACACTTTCATTAGTGTGAACGACTTGTAATACCCAAGCAGGGTAGGAGGAAAAAGTAGCTTCAAGTTTCTCAAGGTACTTACAGACAGGTGTCTGGAAAACAAATCTCAAAGCACACAGGTGTCTGCTTTGAGATTTGTGGACATTTTTGTAAAAATATCGTAATAGATTTGAGAGAAATATTATAAACTTTTGTGAATAAACTACTTAGTATGAGGAAATGCATTACACACACACACACACACACACACACACACACACACACACACACACACACACACGTGTATGTGGTCCCCACAGTGGAGGTCTTCGGTTTTCGCAGCGGAGTGAACAGTGCTCTGGGGTGATAGTCTTAAGGGCCCGAGATCGATTCGCGGTCGAGGCAGAGGTAAATAGACAAAGCATCTGTCACTTAATGCCCGATCCTACAGGCACAAACAGTATATATACACACACACACACACATATATACACACACAGAAACTAGGTAAGTACGCACAACTAGGCTACACGCACACACGGGTACGGACAATGACTTTCTCAAATAATTCCCTTAAATGCCCTATTACGATAAGGCACATAACCTCCTCATCGACCTTCAGCCTTAGTCAACAAGAAAAACTTGAAAGTTCACTTGGATAGCGGAAACAACAGGAGAGACACGATACTCGCTAGACAGTCTAGCCACACCCTAATCACCAATAGTCCAATTACGGTCCCAACAACAAGATCAGGCATCCAGTTTCCACACAAACCTGATCTTTCCTGTATCAGCGGTGCAACTAGAAAACAGACAAAACAAAGAGCTGGTGCTTAGCAATTCAAAGATTAAGCTTTTATATTTTTTTGATTGGCTTGATTGTCTTATCAGAAATGTAGCTTGCGAGCTGAGGGGAGTGTTGATTGTCTTACAATGACTCAAACAATGAATATTTGTTTCACAATTGTTCATATTCTTTGCAATTTTCTTTCGCGAGAATTCACTACAAAATATGGAGATCCTTCATATTAGGCATGTAAGACTATTATTGTTATTTCGTCGTTACTGGTCTTCAGTACTTGTTGCACCATTAGACGCTCCTTATTTCCATGCTATGCAAGCTCGTATAATTCAAGTTATTATAACTGCCTCCTAATATCTAGTACAGGTTGACATTTGTGCAGGTAGTTTGCGTGTAGGCTTGTCTTGTCAAGGTACAAGTTTTTGTGTAATAATTAGACATTCTTTTTAGGTTAGGTTATATATACATATATATATATATATATATATATATATATATATATATATATATATATATATATATATATATATATATATATATATATATATATATATATATATATATATATATATATATATATATATATATATATATAGATAGATATATATATATATATATATGTTGTATAAAATATAGGTTAACATATAAAAATATATGTTGTATAAAAATTCCCTTAAAATATATTGTATATGTTTTTGGCATATATAAACAAATCAAATTTGCAATTATCTTTACTATTCCTGCTAGTTTTGTTACTGATGTTATTACTGATATTATTATTACTAATAATGAACACAAATGGGCCTCATAGTACAGTTGGTTTCGTTCTCGACTCACAATCTGGAATCCCTGGTTCGATTTCCCAGTGGGCCAGAAATGTTTGGACACGTTTTCTTTCACATAATGCCTCTGGTTTGTCTTTCTGAAAATAGGTACCCGACAGTTAGGCAATTGTTGTGGAGATGTTTCCTGGGAAGAGTAAGTAGTTCGACCTAGAGAGGGACCTCGATATCAGCCTAAAGTAGGTGCTTATAGGTCCCGAAGTGTTGGAACTTTGTGAATGTCAGTCTAATAGATAGACTGAAGATATGATGACCAAACCACACACCAGAAGATGAAAAACGACGATGTTTCAGTCCGTTATGGATCATTATTAAGTTGATTGTGATAATGGTCCACAATCGACTTGATAATGGGTCCAGGTCCGACAGAAACGTCGTTGTTTCTTCATCTTCTGGTGTGTGGTTTGGACATCAATAGATATAGGTTATTTATGGCTTTAAGTAGACGAGTATTAACAGTCATTTTCGAAGGTAATGAAAAAGACCTTTACTACTTGTTCTATTTAAATTGATGAAAGTACAGTTGTGACTGATTCAGCACAACTTACAGTGCTTGTTCGTGGCGTTGATGATTGTTTGCAAGAAGCAGAAGAGATTGGGGAATTAATATCATTACAAATGAACAATAAATTAAGAATACTTGGTGAGGTGTGTAGAAACGCTCGTTATATTTCACGCTTATTGAACAAAAGCTGCGAGTCTGGCTACAGTGAAGCACACAAATGACGGGTAAAAAAGCTTGTGTGCCGTTAGAATTAAAGTAAACGCTACTAACTGTAAACGCCAACCATGAATTTTGCAATTTCCATTGTATTACTCACTGAGACGTGTTGAGAAATAAACATTAGAATGGATATAGTGAATGCCAAGCAGAGAGTGTTATTTACAGAGAGTTCAACTGTTTTTCGGAGGGATATGAAAGCCTCATGGGCTTGCATATCACACTGATGTTGGATGGTAAAGTCGGGAAGTTATATTAAAGTGTATTGCCAAGAATTCTTAAAGAAATGCCAATTTTCACGGAAAAGAAAGAAAGATATGTGCAAGAGCCTAGAGATAATGAATAGCTTCGAGATCTAGGTGTCATGATAGATATTACAGACCTTCTAAAATACCTGAACAAAAATATGAAGGGAGCAATAGAGTTAATTTTATTGCTATTCTTTCTATTATATTTTTTGGATAAAGGACATTCAAATCCCTGCAAGACACACCTAAGCTCACCCTGACAACTAATTAGAAAACTACTGCAGTAAGATTTATAATTTAAGAAATGTTTAATGAAAAATTTATTCCCTTTAAATACCTCAAGAATGATTTTAAAAAAAATCCAAACAATTCTCTTTTTGTGTTATTGAAATTTCTGAATTTTTCAGCTTGAAATACTTGCTACAGTGTGATTCTCTTTGGTGGAACAAGCTTTCGTGTATTAGTGTTGACATATTTTATCGATATTGGGGCTGGGCTGAAAATAACCAAGGCGCTTTCATTCCGAATCGGTACACTGAGAATCAGTAACACAAAATTTGCTGTTCTTGGGCCCTCTAGTTGGCGAAAATAGTTCTGCAAACACCTTCGGAAACTTAAGGACACTTTTATCCAGAGACCAAAGGGTGTGTATGACTATTGACACAAACCTGTAACAGTGTCGGAGACCTCTGTCTCTATTAATAATGAAAAGAATAAAAATACCAATGATAAACATAATAACAATTATTACAATAATTGTAACACTAACAATAATAATAAAAAATTATTAATAATAATTAAAATAATTACTATAATAATAATAATAATAATAATAATAATAATAATAATAATAATAATAATAATAATAATAATAATAATAATAATAATCCAGAACAACAAAACAGTACAAATCCTTTCGTCACATGTCGCTGTGTTCTTAAATTCATCAAAATGTGGCAACTTTGAACACCTAGAAGGATGACAAGAATCCCAAAGGCCACAGGTCGGCGGTGTCCCCAGACTGGCTAGTATATAAGGGAGACGCTGCCGCAGCTTCCTCAGTTCAGCCCGCAGTAGCCATCTGTGGAATTCTGTGGTACTCAAGCTCGCTACTTAAGGCACAATGAGGATTTTGGTATGTGTAGTACGCTTGTGTATTATTGGATCGCTTTAGGAATAAATGTAGGAGTTTGATTAGATTCTGCTAATGACATTAGAGTGAGGTGCATTCACCTATTTGAACTTACGGGGGGAAGAGCTGCCGTTCCTAGGTCTCACCTTTGAACTCTTTGACGATTGGTATGTAGGTTAGTTTATAGGTTCATAAGTTCAAAGTTGAATCAAATCGACATATGAAGTTAGCATTATTTTTTTTCACCATTGACGTTAAAAAATTTTTCAACTATGTAAATCAATTAAGTACTCATAGAGAAATACATATAGTAGACATAATAGAGGAAAAATAGATTGGTTAGAAAGGAGGGGGTCCAAGAGCTAATAGCTCAATTCTGCATGCATCAGCAGTAAATACACAGACACACGCACGCACGCACACACACAAAGCAATAGAATGAAAGCTCACGAATGGAAATTAGAAATTCCGTTGAATCAGTGGAACTCTTAGAAAAAATATATACAGATGCATTTAGCGAATGGTGTGAATTGAGCGCAGATGATGGAATCTTACTTCATTCTCCACTTTAAAAATAATAATGTTATAAAACAACATCGGAAACTATTGCATTAGATGATTTGACCACTAAAATTGCCGTGGCTCAGGATTTAAAGCTTGATTTCCATATGCATTGATGAGTAAAAACACATCCAATGATCTAAACATGAAATGTACAGAAGAATCATCTTTTCATTCACTAATTCTAAATCAATTATACAGAGCAGGTTTTAAAAATCGAAAATATGAGAAGATCCTCTGTTAAGGAAATATTTCATATAAAAATGTAAAATTTAGTTTTGACATAATGAGCCTTTTACAATGATTTAATGTTAAATATTGACAATATATTTACGGAGACATTTCTTTCCTAACAGGCAGCTTTCTGCGTGCTGGCTGTGGGCGTCAGCGCACAGCTTGGGCCATCAGGACTCATAAACCCAGATGGCTTCAATACACAATTCACTCAAGAATTCGCCAACAGTATTGTTTTGATTGGGCCATCTGGTGCCGTGACCAGTACGGGCGAAAACCTCCAGCTCACTGGTGAACAAGCCGCACTCAACGCCGACAACCCACATGTAGGTAATTTTGAAGCCAATCGTGGCGTTGTGGGACCCTCAGGTGTTGTCAGTCCCGACGGCAACAACGTCCAGTTCACCCAGGAACAGGCAGACAATATCGTGCTCATCGGTCCATCTGGTATCGTCACTAAGGATGGCCAGAACTATCAGCTCAACGACCAGGGTGTCCCTCGAGTCAAGCGCTCGGAACCGATTGTTGGACCTTCTGGGATCATCACCCCTACCGGCAAGCTGATTCAGCTGCCAGCAGGTGTAACAGTCGCAGCTGCTGGCCCCTCTGGTGCTGTTCTCTCGAACGGCGAAAACGTACAATACCGTAAGAAGCGTTCGAACGGTATTTTACCAATTGTTGGACATTCAGGCATAATCACCCCTACCGGCAAGCAGATTCAGCTGCCAGCAGGTGTAACAGTCGCTGCTGCTGGCCCCTCTGGTGCTGTTCTCTCGAACGGCGAAAACGTACAATACCGTAAGAAGCGTTCGAACGGGTTTGAAGCAGTTGTTGGACCTTCAGGCATCATCACCCCTACCGGAAAGCTGATTCAGCTGCCCGCAGGTGTAACAGTCGCAGCTGCTGGCCCCTCTGGTGCTGTTCTCTCGAACGGCGAAAACGTACAATACCGTAAGAAGCGTTCGAACGGTTTTGAAGCAGTTGTTGGACCTTCAGGCATCATCACCCCTACCGGAAAGCTGATTCAGCTGCCCGCAGGTGTAACAGTCGCTGCTGCTGGCCCCTCTGGTGCTGTTCTCTCGAACGGCGAAAACGTACAATACCGTAAGAAGCGTTCGAACGGGTTTGAAGCAGTTGTTGGACCTTCAGGCATCATCACCCCTACCGGAAAGCTGATTCAGCTGCCAGCAGGTGTAACAGTCGCAGCTGCTGGCCCCTCTGGTGCTGTTCTCTCGAACGGCGAAAACGTACAATACCGTAAGAAGAGATCTGATTCCCTATTGGGACCCTCAGGATACATTACCCGCGAAGGACAACCAATTCATCTGCCAGTAGGTGTAACAATTGTAGCAAAGGGCCCCTCTGGTCTAGTTTTATCCAATGGACAAAACGTACAATACCGCACTAAGCGCGCTGAACCCCTGGTTGGGGCCTCAGGCATCATCACTCCTGACGGCCAACTTATCCAACTACCGGCAGGTGTGACGGTTGCATCTGCAGGACCAGCTGGGGTGGTTCTCTCCAATGGAGCAAACATTCAGTACAACTATTAGAACACTTTTTAAGATCGTTCGTGCATTATAACAGTCAAGTGATCCAATACGAAACTGGTACACCCTTGTCGCTGCTGGTAACTCTGCTTTCTTTCCAGCTAATAGAGCATGCAATTCATATTTTTTATAAATATGCTGAACTGCAAGTTCTTAAGTTTAAATACTTGCCATCATGCTGTGTATAATATGCCTGCAACTTTGCTTTTCACTTCTTGCAATCTTTGTACATTTCATTTAACGCTCTTGTCAATAAAAGATGAGCTGACTGGCTATTTTGATACCAATTTTATGATTCCGTCTTGATTAACGCAGGTGAAATTTTACATAATGCATTTTAAGAGGGATTAAAACATATGAATATAGGAAACTGCGGAATGCTTATTGGTCCAATGAAAATGATCAATCTTTTCATTTAAAAATGAAAAGAAACATAATTAACACACACAATCACATATAGTAAATCATGCTTACATTTAGCTTTTCATATTAGCATCAGGGTTATGTGATATACGGAAAACTCAAGGTACAATCCCTCGCATCACTTGAGAGAGGAAACAGAGGAAAATGATCATCACATACAAAATACATGGGAGAAAGGAGAGTATTAACAAGTACCCAGTATCTAACTTTTCAAGAATATGAATAAGGGAACACAGAGACTAAATACCCCAAATGAGTCAGAGTGTTAATATAATGATATTAGAGTGATATTTGTTCAGTATCAGAATAGTAACAAGTAAATTAAAAGTGATGGAGATAGAGTCCATATTCATATTAACGTGAAGACATTGCCGAGCTATACATGTTCAAAACATGTACTTCGATCGATTTCATGTTAAAAGATTGGATCCAAAATTCAAAGTTTTGCCAATACAACTCAAGCAGGTGGGCACATATCCACAACAAAATCATAAAGGATGTGATAATAACTAAGGTGGATATATTATTATATATATATACATATCATATATATATATATAAATATTATTATATATATTATATTATATATATATATATAAATATTATTATATATATATATATATATATATATATATATATATATATATTATATATATATATATATATATATATATATATATATATATATATATATATATATATATATATATATATATATATATATATATATATATATATATATATATATATATAATCACGATTGAAGGAACCTGAATAATATATAATGCTTGAGAACAAAGACTGAACATTAAAATTTTTGTTTCCAACTTGAGTATATGGCACATGCGATGCTAAAACGAAAGAGAATTAAATGAATAATAATATGTGGAATCAATTTCGGAATATGTTTCAACCATATTGCAAAATATCTCTTGTTAGAGAATTATAACCAAGCTCATGCCCATTCAGGTGGATGATATTATAAAGGACGAGGACCAGTAAACTATATTTCAGTTGAAAAAACACTACTGAAGAATGTTAATAGTTACAGATAAATATTCTGGATCAACACCTAACATAAAATGTAACATACCAACACAACCAAGAAACAAACTTGGTCAAACAAAACACAAACAGCTGTGATCACCACTCACAATAGTAACAACACACCACACTCACAATATTGACATCAACACACCACGCTCACAATATTGACATCAATACACCACACTCACAATATTGACATCCACACAGCACACTCACAATATTGACATCAACACAGCACACTCACAATATTGACATCAACACACCACACTCACAATATTGACATCAACACACCACACTCACAATATTGACACCAACACATCACACCCACACCTTTAACAGAACACTACACCCACACCCTTATCACCAACACACCACACATCTCGCTGGAAGACAGCAAATATGGTTTTAATATACTAGAAAATGAGCCGGCAGAAGGCACTTAATTTACTAACCAGCACCCTAGATCACCGAAATTTCTTCACCTTGCACAGAAATTCAAGGAATAACAAGAAAAGAGCAAGTGGAACATCTAACTCAACCTCGTTACTATATATGACAGGTAATATTTTGACATTAAAATACAAAGGAAATATTTTGACATTAAAAATTGAACAAGAGGACGAGAATAGCATCTTGAGACAGAGATGAGGCAAAAGAATGTGAGAAAATGCACCTTTACTGTCATAGTAGAAAAATGGAATGAATTAGACAAGGAGGAAGAATACACCAATGTCCAAAACAATTTAAGAAGTAGATGCGAGAGTAGTATATAAAATTCGTAAGACATTAGACGACCGACAGCTGAAAATACCAGGAAAATGAGCTGGAGTCCTTCTCTGCAGACGAGTACACACTGCCTTGGGTGTGTACTTCAGTGTGCGAACGAGTACACACACTGCCTTGGGTGTTCCCCTTGTATCCTGGACCGGTTCTCACTGCCATCTACCAAACGCTATGCGGATATGCCACCAAACGCTTCAACCCATCGTGATGATTCAGATGAATATGAAATGAACTGGCAGCATCGAGGGCTATTAAATTTGCATATACATCGTCCTTGTAGACATATTTGACGAATATAGACCAAATCGTTGACGTATATTATCCTTCATTCTATCAAACAAAGAATAAGTATATGCGGAGACGACAGTGATAGGACAACGTATGTGACAAAGTTTTTAAAAGTAGATTTTAATTTTGGTGTTAATAAATGTTGGTTTCAGGCAGTATTTGATGAATTAGTTAAAAAATGGTGATGTCTTTTATGCATATATATAAACACACACTAGCTATTATATATATATATATATATATATATATATATATATATATATATATATATATATATATATATATATATATATATATATATATATATATATATATATATAAGTAAACCGTTTTCGTTCATAAACAAGGGGTTTGGCTGCTGGATTAGAGAGCAGTTGGCCTTTGTTGATGAGGCTGGGCTGCTCACAACTGATTACATTCGAAAATTTATTGAACAATGATTTACTGACTACCTCTCTTCGAATCGTAACTGACCTGACCTGAGTAGAGGTCGGAGTTGTGTGTAATAGGTTTTTCATCCATAAATAGAGGATTTGGCGGTAGGATTAGCGAACATTTAGCTTCTTGTTTATCATGACGGGCAGCTACGAGAAAATATTTAAGTCCTCGGGGATGAACAAATCATTTAAGAAGCTTCAGATATCTGAAACCAGCGGATCTGAGAGCCATAAACATATGACATTCAATAATATATTGTTGATAATTTGTAATACGATCCGCATTTAGCGTAACATTCTTAAGAATTTTTAAATAATCAGGAAAGAATGCAGTGGTATCTCATATTTTACTATAATATAATTATCTAAAGTATTATTTAAAATAAACGTGAAATATTTCTCACTAAATATTTGAAATGAGAGTCAAAAGCCGATCATAACTATCCTTTACGCTCCATTTTCCGAACGAGGATGTCATTTTCACCGAGAAATTCAAATTTGTATTGAATAAATCTAACAAGCGCGGCTCAGGAATATCCCAAGGAGCCAATATTACCAATTAAGAAGACGGATGTATTGGCCTGGCTCAAGTATTTAGGAAGCAGATGAATGAGACCTGACGGTAGTGCCTCTTGTGCTGGCTACAATGCTGGTGGCCGTAAATTTTGGCCTCCAGCCAATAAATATCAGGAAAAATATTGTCCACGGCCGATTCATGACCACCCGGCCACGCTGGGAAGTGTTGAGTTGTGGTTACCCTCATGAGTTTATGTATGTTTAGAGAATAAATAAATCTCTCTCTCTCTCTCCTGTGTACATGAAAAGTGATATTCTGATCGTCCGCGAATCCTGTATTTTGTTAATTATAATTATGTATGTGATTGTGTGTGTGTGTGTGCTCATATAATTAGTCTCATCTAATTACAGGATTGAACGACCTAGCTTTTGGGCAACGCCTTTTCTGTAGTCTTCCATCTAACGAAACATCTCGTTAGCAACCTAATTTCTGTCAAATTTACTTTTTAATCTTTAAAATGAAGAGAGGCTCATCTATCTCTTCTTCTAATTCATTCCATTTTCTCCTAACTCTTTGAATAAGGAAGAATCACGTTCCTATTGCTTATCTGAGAGTCTAGTGCTCACCAGTGACACCTGATTCTACTGTGGTTCATGCTAAATAATTTATCCTATGTGTTCTTAGTTCCTCTTAGAAACTCTTATGTCGCGACCATACCTCCTTTTTTTCTTTTTTTAATTGTAAAATAAAATCAGGCTTCTCAGCCTTTCCATGTTTACCAGTCCTCTCATTCCTAGTCCTTCTTACGTAAAGGCCCTACGATGCAGCATACTACAGTACCTGTCACATATAAGTAGTGTACAGAGCTTTAAATACCTCCTCGAATGTTCACGAGCACTGCTTATGCCTCTGACTTGATTACATTGATGTGTGACTGGAAAAAAGTTTGACATTATATCTTCTAACTGCTACTGACAGATCGTTTGCATATTTCGATCCCAAAGTTGCCTTCCTCTTATTGTGCACCGACCTCCACGTCTTCAAGCTTATGTATCCATCATCATTATCTTACATTTATAATTATTGAAGTCTACCTGCCATCCTTCATATCAGCCTTTCAGTTTATCCAGGATTTTGGAGCATTCTGGCGTCATCCGAGGTCGTAATGCCTTTGAACATATTTATAAATAGTGTAAACATCGAAACGCAGGATGTGTGTGTTTATAAGTGTGTGTATAAGTGTTAATTTACCGGTAGTAGCGTTGGTCATAATGTCTCGGCTTGAGTACACATGAAGTCATAAACAAGGGATGAGAGTGACCGTTACCACGCCACGGGCCTCATACAGATAGCAATACACACTGATCGCATCTACATACACTGTTGACCCGCTCACTTTGTTTGGGAATTAACATAATATCCTGACAACCGACAGGAAAATCCACATCAACGGTACAGTTACAGTTCTGACAGAATAAAGAACTTAGTAACATAACAAATTTGTACCTAATAGCGAGTGATTGCCGGTATGAAGACATTTATCCAATAGATTCCAAGTTTTTCAATTTATTTGAGACATTTAAAGATCTTCCCTATTCTTTTTTTTACTAAAATTCAGGCTTCATCACACGTATAAAATACATCCAGACTCTTTCATATGTTTTACTGAAGCCTAAATAGGCAGATTTATATAGTATTATTTCAAAATGCAAGTAAAACCCACGCTCCACAGTATTGAAGAAGTGGGTTCACCGGATATTTCATGAATAAAAA